TTATCATGTGCATTACTTCTAGTAAATTAGTCATCGGGTGTTTATTCAAAAATCAAAATTATAAGTCATTTTCCATCTTGGATGTCATAATCAATTATTAGGGTTTTCTATGCAAAATAAGCATTTAACAGGTTAAACAATAGTTTTATTGGATCAAGTATAACTTCTAGGGTTTTTTTAGTTTTAGGGACAATCCTTATCTTTTTACATCATAGAGGTATTGTAACATCCTAAACATTGGGACTGAATAACAAAGAATGATGATTGGAAGGGTAAAATGGTCATTTGACCAGTAAATGAATTAAAATTTGGTATTGGGTATATTAAATACACGTGGAGAAGGAGGAAAGCTAAACTAAGTATCAAGAAATATCTTCACTCTTCTTCCTCTTTCAGCCGTGAGTTACCAAAAGCAAAGGTGAGTTTCTTGCTAGTTGATTATTCATTGAATTTAAGTTTGCTTTATGTTCCTTAGATGATACTTAAGCTTAAGGAAAACTTAAGTTGTCTTAAAACCAAAAGATGAAGGAGTTAGGAATGATTTAAGATAAAAGGTTTATAAGTGAAATCTTGGAAGAGAGTTAGTAAGTAGAATTTGAGACTAAAATTGACTTGTCATCAATCAAATTAAGAAGCATGAAGTGTTAGAATTGAAATTAGAACATGTTGGAAAATTGGTAGGATTTTTGATTTCAAGATATAGGAGGAGATTTTGAAGATAAAGGTGTGTTATATGAATATAAATTGATTTGAGTATGTGTATTTGAGTTTAAGGGTATGAAAGGGATTAAGAAATGAAGGATTTAAGTTGATATTGGTAAATTTATGGTTTAAAAAATGACTTCTGGGTTATGAGTATTGGTATTGATTCATTCAGTATTGATACTTCAAAGATAAATAAGTGATAATTGGGGTGTGGGTATCGATATTGGTCTAACAGTATCGATACCATAAGCCAAAATTGGACAAATTATTCATGGGGTATTGATACCTAAAAGGTAGTATATATACCAAGGGTACCGATACCATAAGGCAAGTATTGATACCATTTTAAAATAAGGATTCCATAATCGGAAAAGGGTATCGATACCCAAGCTCGGTATCGATACCACAACTAGGGAAGTATCGGTACCATACCTTGGGTACCAATACTATTCAAAGTGGAAAATTTTATTAAGTTTTTCTTTTAGTTTAAGTTATTAAGGATCGAATTATAATACCTAGGATTTTGATATGCATATTAAATGTATAATTATGTAGATATCGAGCATAAGCAAGTTCCAAAACAATCGAAGAGTTAGAAACGACCGAGAGAGAGATAAAGTCATAGAATCAATTCGAATCAAGGGAAGCTAAGGTGAGTGCATACCATAGTTGGTATAGATGTTTTATGGAAATAAGACTTGTGATAAGTCTATTTCCTATATTTGATTTCATGATTCCGTATTTATGTACATGCATATGTTATGATTATAATGAGTACATGCATAACTTACACATGCTTTAATACGATATGATATATGATGTATACGAACATAAGAGAATAAATCTAAGCTATATGTTATAAGATAAGTGAGTATATATGTACATGTGAAATATGAGATGTGGTTACATGAGAAATTATGGAAGAGATATGAATATATGGAACATATAAATATTTAAGCCCATGTTATGTGATATGAGAGTTGTAGGTATAATTGGCATGCCAAGAGTCGAGGGTTATATGTGGTCCTTCGGGATATATATGTAATCCTTTGGAACATATATGTGGTTCTTCGGGACACATATTTAGTCCTTTGGAATATATATATGTGATCCTTAAAGAGTGGTCCTTCGGGACATCTATATGGTCCTTTGGGACAAATTCTATGTGCCCCTAATTGGAATTTATACGAGCTGTGGTGACAGCATAAGTGCACAACCTCAATATACTCATGTACCTCAGGTTCTCAGTAATGTACATGGGAACACAAAGATAAACCGAATTAAACACCTCATAAGATGACATATATATATATATATATATATATATATATTAATTGTGCATTCCATGATTATGTATGTTATGGTTGAGTAAATATATGAAAATCGTAAATTCATGTTGGAATTATAGGATCGCATGTTTCATGAATTCATTATTACATGTTTATATTATGCCTCACTAAGTCTGTGACTTAACGTGTGAGTGTTTCACACGTAGGTACCAAAAAGCAGGAGGGTTAGAATTAGGAGTTGCAGAGACAACATACTTCTACCAGCATATTAGATTAGAAGTAATTCACAAATATGTATTTTGTTGTATTAAATGTGTTGGCATGTAGACAAAGTTGTGAATTACATATGCTCTAATCTATTTTGTATTATTTTGGTCAAACTTATGTAACTTAACTAACTTTATTTTAATGAAAGTTTAGATTTTCATGATTTTGTAAAAGTCAAAGTTTTGAAAAGTCAATATGACACCTCGGATTCGTATCTAGGTCGGGTATGAGTTGAGGGTATTACAGGTATTTTTGTAATTTCTTACCCATGCATTTCTGGCATATAACCTTTAACAAAAATAATAAGAATTTACAGATCATGAGGTTAATTAATTTACTAATAAATCACTGAACTTGGATTTATTCTAATTAGTCCTCCAATTTCTTATGCGAGTCATCCGAGTCTTATACGGTTTACTAATTTCTTACCATATTCAATTTGAGCCTAGCAATAATTAACTACACATAATTGACCAATAATATTTATTCATGCAACCAATATTAATGTGTTCCTTAAAGCATGCAAAAAGTAGTAATGTATTACCTCAATTTTTGAGTCACATCAGTCTGTCATTTTGACTCCATTTGAACGCCCTCAAACTTAAATTCAACATCCAAAAATATCTCAGATACATGGAAAAACGAATTACATCAGAAACAGGTCTTAACGAGGAAAAACGAATCGAATCGCAAGATAAAAAGCTAAAAAATAACTTATCGGGTTCGAATTTGGTGAAACATACCCCAAAAACATACTCAAGACATCAAAAAACATCATGATATAAGTCAAAGCCTAGTTAATGTCGGTCAACGGCCGGTCAATGGCAGGTTAACAGAAGTCAACGAATTGAATCAACTCGGCTCGGCTCGGCTCAATCTGGACTGCTTGGCTCAGATCAGCTCAATTCAGCTTAGACCGATCCAACTAGATCGGTTCCAAAATATTCCCTGCTAGCTGAGAAGCCCTATGCGCATGGGGTGCGTGCGGCATCTCTGGCGGCCGAAATCGATCAAAAATACCATAATCATAGATCTCGCGATATGGAATCACTTGGTAGGCTTGGTTCACGACGGGGTGCGGCAGAGGGGCTTTTTCGAGTAGTCGAAACCTCCCTACTCCGATCTCCTCCACGACGACGACGGAGCTCGCACCATGACCAGTGGTGGATGTGCTACGGTGAGCTTACTCCACTCACGTTGGCAGTGTCATCAACGAACGATGAAGGTGGTCAGAACTGGTGAAAAATAGAAATGGCGGCCTCTGTTTTCCGATGAAGTTTCACGACAATATCTACGACTAAAGGCTACAATTTACGACATGATAACAGAGGGGTTTTGATCGGGGCTAGATGATGAACACGTCGATGGGGGCAGTGCCACGTTGGTCGGAGAACGGCGATCGGAGTTTGACAATGAAGAACGGGTATGGGGACTATTTTGTGAAGGTTGGGACGTTGGAGATGATTTTTCAATTTGAAAAAAAGGGTTTTGGGTCTTATAATCTGATCTAAGTCAGATAAAGGTTTTGGATTAAATTAACTACTCTAAATGGTAGGAGCAGGGCTCTTCACTCCTTGGGTCCCAGGTTGAATTCTACAGTACGTACATCTTTCTACCCTTTTTTTCCTGTCTAGGGTCATTAACTACTCTATAGAGCTTTACCCTTGTGACTCTTAACTTATTAAATCCTCATTATTTCAATATAATTAGATATAACATGTGTTGTGATTATATTTTTCTGATTTTATATTTTTTAAAAAATTAAAAAGTTTATTTTTAAATTACTTTAAAATAGTTAATTTCATTTAAAATAACAATCAATGATTCATATTCATCAATGCCAGACTAATGATTGTTACCATTGGTTTGACCTACAGATAGGGATGGCAATGGGTCGGGTCGGGTTTTTGGGCCACCCGACCCGACCCGAGAAGAAAGGGCTTTTCACCCGTGACCCGACCCGATGAAATTAAGGTTTCACCCGACCCGACCCGACCCGAATATATAACTTAGAAACCCGACCCGACCCGAAATAAAAAAAAAATTTATTCAATAAAAACAGTGACTTAATTGAAAAAAATTATATATGGAGGGACATTATTGTAATTATCCCTAAATATATAGGATAAAATTATATATATATTTTGGGTCGGGTCGGGTCGGATTTTTTTCACCCTAAACCCGACCCGACCCGACCCGAACAGTACATTTAAAAAAAAAACCGACCCGACCAGACCCGAACCCGAAATTTTTTTAAAAAAATCCGACCCGATCAGGTCGGAACCCGTCGGATTCGGGTTGAGTTGCCATCCCTACCTACAGACGAAAAAAAGTATCCGAATGCGGATTGAAGAGGATATTAATGTGTTGCTACAGAGTACACACACACAATTAGCTTCAGGCAAAGGGCCTAGGTTTTCAGGGTTTACAAGTTGCAGTCGTATGATGGATGCATTGCAGAAACAATCCCCCAAGAAAATAAAACTGAAAATGGTTATTCATGTCTTGCGTTTTAATTATGATCTTCTTTTACATAAAAAAAAAGAAGTTGAGTCACTGTCTACTCAGAAATGGTGACTTTTACACTCCATGCAGAGAAAGGAAGGAATTTGATAATAAAAAGGCATTACTTTTGAGTCCATGTTTTATGAATACAACTGCAAAATTAAATGGATGAAATCATTTAAAGTAAGAAAAAAAAGGAGTAGAAAGTTGTTATTTCTGTATATCTGTTACAGGGTTTGAATGTTCAAAAGAGAATATCCATTCCTGGAAAACTCCAATCCAATTCCATAGGACATTTCAATTCAACATCTCATCCAATTTCTGCCTGTACTGAGCCAACCCCTGCAACAAAACTCGGTCGGTAGAACCATAAGCATTCGTCTTTCTCGTTTGACACCCTTTTACGGAGATCCTAAACAGATCGAGAATGATGCAGAGAGTAAGTTACATACCCTGGTATAAGCATAGACTCCGGTCTCTGTTGGCGCTACAGGACTTCCCCTCCTAATGAAATTCTCCTCTTTGAAAATGTAAAGCATAGGTATCCCTGTTGATAGTTCTAAACTGATAACCTGTCTCGTGGGGAAAATCGACTGTATATCAGCCTTGTTAAAACGAGAAATACCGGTGAACGTCTCGAACGGAACAAAGAAAAAGGTTCATACCTCCTGCGAGGTTAATTTGTCAAGGTACATGATGATGGACCTTAATGAATTCCCATGTGCAGCAATCATGACATTCTTTCCGGATTGAAGTTGGGGTTCAATCTGCAAACAGAAGATTCATTGTTAGTTTCCAAATGAATCGTGTTAAAGAACCTGCATCTCTCGATTTATCAGAGGCCCAACGGATTGACTAAATGATCAAATATCGGATAAAGCAAGATGTAGAAGTTACATTATCTTTAAAATATGCAACAGCTCTTTGGGCGCACATTTCCAAACTCTCGCCATTGGGTGGAGGTATATCGTAACTTCTGCGCCACTCGTGAACCTTTTCCTTCCCGAATCTCTCTGCGGTTTCCTGTTTATTGAGGCCTTGTAATCCTCCATACCTGCGTGGTAAAACGTGCTTCATGAATCATACTATGAGAAAAATTGAGACGGCTAATAAGCAGACAAATCCGAACAGCATGAATCATTCTTATTGATAAAGATAAAAAGGAAAATTGACTACATTCTTTCATTCAATTGCCAAGCAGTTATAACGGGAACTGATTGCTTTATGGTTTCTTCACTGTATATTTGACTCCATGCCTTTGCCTGCTCACTCTCATTATGCATGATAATTGACACCTGCCAACAGGTGAATGTATTAGTCTAATCAACAAAGAATGATTAAGGTTACCGGTCTTGGACTTTCCGTCTAACAGTAAGGGTTTTTAGTAACTTCAAATTCATTTAACCGCATCAACGACTCTACTAATGACCGATGATAACAATTATGAGGTTCCCGGTATCACCAAGTTACCTTCTTGCGGCGATGCTGAGTCATGGCTAGCATGGCAGTCATTTGTGCACGGATTAGAGCTGATGTATATATCATGTCGACAGGTATGTTGCTGATTCTCCTGCCAGCTTCAATTGCCTCTTCCACCCCCTTCTTGGTTAATGGCACATCGACACAACCTGTGAAAAGGTTCTTCTCGTTCCATAAAGACTCGCCATGACGGATCAGTATCAAAGCTACTTCATCTGCAATGAATAGCAAGAAAAAGAATCAGGAGAAATCACATGCAAAACCGGTTTTGTTCCCCGAGTTACAAGGAGAATGGCTAATCACTTGCATCAGTTGGAATCAATGTGCATTAGCAGTCTGCCTTTTACATTTTGAGAAATTAGGATCTGTGCTACTTGAAACAACTCATTAATATAGTGTGATTGGATCAACCTTATAATCAAGAAGAAAAATGGTGCAATGGACTAAAATTCCCTAACTAAACATGAAACTATGTGTAGGATGGTCTGGCTTACTCGATTTAGTGCGAGATTCATGGATTCCATTATTCGAGGGGGCTAAAACAGGATCAACAACAGAGGTTTGTGAAGCCGAAGCTCGAATCACACCAAGTTTCCCCTCTCCAGAACTATAAATCCCTCTCTTTGAGACCCCAACTTCAACCTTAAAACCTTTGGGAATCAACTTCACCGAGTTATTCCGGATTTCGCAATGAGTTCCGGAATTTCCGAGCAGCTGAAGAGTTCCAACTGATTGGTGCAACATAGCATTGGCCATTCTGAAAATTCAACAACTATTAGCCTAAGAACACCTTGTATATCTAAACAAAATAAAAGCACAAACATACAACACAAGGTCTTGATTATGGACAAATTAAAGTTTTTTTTTCTCAAGAACAATGGATTCGCCTTCCATTGCACAAAGAAAAAGAATGCTACACCAAATAACTGTTAATTATGAACATGGCATTAAGGGTTTTACTTACTCTAAATCTATGGTTAAATTAAAGTTAAGCCAGATTAAGAACCCCAAGAATTTAACAAGCTCCAAACAACATCAAAAGACAGACAAGAAGAATCTGAGCAACATAACCTAATTAACACTAATCAGCAAACATCCTACATTGAAAAATAAACAGACAAATCAAATCAAAAACTAAAATTTAACATTTCTAAATCAAGTGAACATTGATTCAAAGAAACAAGACATAAATGACAGAGGAGATGAAGCAAAACCTTGAAGACAGCAAACAAATCCAGAAACCAAAAATGAAATGTTAATTGTTGGGTACGCCAAAGAACTGAGTTTGGGTTTATTTATAGGACAACAGCGAAGAAACCGAGGCAAAGAAAGAAGCATATAGTTGGGGCATGGTTTAAATTATTAATGAATACAAAGGAAATCGAAAGAAGAAAGAGAAGGGAAGTATGGATTTTTTACAGGACAATCTCAAGACACAAAGAACCAAAAAAAAGGTTTAAACTTGAAAAAGGAATAAAATTTATAGAAACAATCGTTGATTGTTGTTGTCGTTATGGTTTACTTCTTTGTTGTTGTGATTCCATCACGTTTGGAACTTGGCAGGAACAGCTTAATGACAAATGACTGCAAGCAGCTACCTTTGCTCTTACATGACAAAACATTTCTTGGGTCTTTTCACGCTATATTTTTCTTAGTTTTGTTTCTTTTGGCGTGGGTTTTTTTTTCTTCCAATTATTATTTTAAATATTTTTTTATAATTTTATTGTTTTTCAAAATACAAGAACATTTGATTATGTCAAGTAGACGAAAGAAACTTTTGTATTAAAAAATTTATTTAGTGAACAATTATAGGTATTGTGTTAAAATGATTGTACAATTTTTTTATTAATTATGGGTTTAATCCTTATAAAATATTTAATAATTTGCAGTCATCTCATTTAAAAGTCATATAAAATATAAAAGTACCATTATAGTAATATTTATTTATTATTTAATTAAATACTTTTCTAATATTTTCTCAATAGAGTTGACACCGATTAATGATAAAAATATTATTAATTAGTCTAAATGGTAAATTTCAGATTTATATAATAAATTGGTCCATGTTTAAATTAGACGATAATAAAAAAACATCTTTAAGTGAAATATTATTTCAATTGAATCCTTATTTCAATATTCACAATCAAATAAATCTCTAAAATTGAAAATTTTATAATCAAATTTCACTGACTTATTTGATAATAATTTTTTAATTATTTCACTTGGATCCGTACTTGATCATATATGTCTAAATTTTAGTGTTTCTTAATAATTATATTGACATTTATGATTTATTTATCTGATTATTATTTAGTACACAATTGATGAAGAATGCTTTTACAAACATTCTTATGATGATAACAAATGTTATATATTTTACACAGATTAATGGCAACCTTGACTCCAAAACAGGTTCAGGCGATTGACAGTCCGGGATGGAAATGGAATTCGAATCGTAAATTAACAGTATGATCAGCCTGTGAGGTAAGGATGGGACAAAGAGCCGAACCAACAGAAAGAATATGAAAAACGATTAACAGATTCAATGGCTTACAACGAGTGAAAGTTTCCCTATGGCTACTAGCAGGAGGTAAGATTCTCACCAACAGCGAAAGAACGAGAAGACACATGGACTCGGACAACAAGTGTGGAGTGTGCCGATCTAATGAAGAAACGAATGAACACTTATTCAGGGAATGCCCAAAAGCGCTAGAAATATGGAAGTCATTAGAAGTGTTCAACGAATTCCAGGAAATGAATTTTGAAGACTGGATATTGACAAATCTAGAGAAGACGAAGCATTTTGCAAAAGACCCATAAGACTGGAACCTACTTTTTGGATCATTATTGTGGGTAATATGGTTACATAGGAATGCATGTGTCTTCGAACCAGAAAGCATGGAACGAATAACAGTGTATGAGCAAGGGAAACACCTTCAAGATGAATGCATTCGAGCGAGGGAGACTGCAAAAGCAAGAACGAAGACTGGAGACAAACGGAAATTACAACACTGGGAGGCACCACCGAGAGATTGGATAAGGATCAACACGGACGACGCAAGAGACACAACAGATGGATATGCATCTTGTGGAGGAGTGTCGGAACCGTCTTTCGGTTGGGCCCCGAAATTGGGCTTCGACTTGAATGAATGTGGATTGGAGTCGCCACCGATCATCTACTAAAAAATAAATAGGTTGATCGTATACCTTATTTCTTACCTGATCTGCGTCTTACCAAAGATGTGTCGGATTCGGGAGTCGGTTACAGTCAAGGAAGGGTTAGCACCCTTGAACTGCTCTTTCGGTACTATGTAATTTCCAGTTGTCTTTAATTAAGAAAATCGCACCTTTAAATTAAAAGGTAAGATAACGATCCCAAAATTACTTACCTCTGATTGTTTGAGATACCCTTAAAAAAATAGAGACGTTAAAGAACGAGAATGGATAAAGTAAAAAAAAAAACAAACATGAAGATAAAATAGAAAATAAAAAAAAAGGTATATAAGCAAAGTAAAATAAACAAATAAACGGGATAATGAAGCTAGAGGTAACATACACATAAATAAAATAATAATAATGAGACCAAGATGAAAAGTGAGCAAAATAATAAAATAAATACATATAAAAATAAAAATAAAAAAATATCGAAGGAAAAAAAAAGAAAAAAAGATAGATTTGTAAAAAGCGAAATAAATAATACAGAAATAGAATGCATGACACATAAAAAAATAAAGGGGAACAAAAAGAAAAATATATATATGCAATGATCAATAAAACAAATAAATAGAGATAATTACATATATATATATATATATATATATATATAAAAGAATAATAATATATATGATAATAAAACATAATATACTAAATAAAAAAATAATTAAAGATTTAAAAAAGGAAAATTGAAAATTAAAATACGAATTGGGTTTAACTGGGGATTAAATTGAAAAGAAAAACAAATTAAGTGGCCAGATTAGGAGACAAAATGATGTGGACATCGGATTTAGGGTCAGAATGAAGCCTCTTTAGAATACGATGGACCAAAACAGAGATTTACTCATTTCACAGTGAAAACACGCGGGTTAGCTAAGCGGGTCAGGTCTGTGCGCAGGTCGTATACGGGTAAGCGAACCATGTATTTAAGTTAAAAATATGTTTTAACTTTCATTTTTCCTTCCTCCAAACCAAAGCCATTCCTCTCTCTCTCTCGTTTCTCTGGATAGTTCATGTGTTCTTGATGAATACATGAACGCCGTCGCTAAATCCAGATTTCGGTCGTCGTTGCTGGCGCCGACCGCCGTTCGCCGACGACAAAATATAAAAAGTTTCGATTTTTTTAAAAGCCCTTTGCCTCCTTTTTCAGAATATCCGAGTACTTTTTTAGGAAAACAAGCCTCGGGGCGTAAATCTAAGATCGAAAGTTCAAAAGATCCACCCCTCTGTCATCGGCCAAAACGTTTTTCTTTGGTGTTTTCAAGCACAAAACGCGAGTAACTACGCATGCAAGTAACCAAGAACGAACAAAATGAGGTAAAAACGCTACCTTTATTTCCTTTCAAACGTTGTACAAAGATTCGGCTTGCTTCTCTATATTTGCTATAGATATGTGGTGTTTTTGTACCAGTTCCATTTTCATGAGATTACATCACTATTTATACAAAAAAAATGCATGTTATTTTTAGCCTAGTTTGAGTCCTAATCAAACTCTAACTCTCATTGTTTGCTTGTGGGGGTTGTTGATGGTTGCCGTGAAATCCGGTGACGGTTGCGTGCGTGGCCAGAGACGTGGGGCGTGGGGACTTGCTGGCTTGGTTCTGGAAACGGCACTGGACGAGAAACTGTTAGGGTTTGGGAACCCTAGTTGATCTGTATTGGGTCTGGCACATGTGGGCCTGGTTGTTGTGTAACGGGCTTTGCTTTCTTATTTAGGCCTGTAAAGAAAAGAAATCAGGACATGTAAATAACATATATAAAATAACAAATAAATTATATATTATATATTATATATATAATTTTTTATGTAAGGAAGAAAAATGTGTGTCTACAGCTGCCCCTCTTTGCTCATTATCGTGTAACGAAAATAGAGCAAAGATTAAAAGACACATATTTCGTCCACATCGACTATCCTCTGTTGTAGAGTTGAAACCCGATGCTGAAACTGGTTTGTCAATCACGAAATGACTCCCTCATCGTGAGGTTGAGTCAAAGCTGGAATATTTCGAGCACGAAATCCTTCGTCGTGAAGTTGAAAACGAGCTCAAAGATTTTGACAAGTGGCCTATGAACCGTTTTCTGGCTCAAGATACTTCGTCGCGAAGGTGAAACTTGACCTGAAGACTTTGGTGTTGGGGTGTTACAGATGACTCCTTCGTCGTGAAGTTGGGTCAATCTGTTTGTGAAGTTGGAATTGTATATGGCCCCTTCGTCGTGAAGTTGAGCCTGGGAATTGGATATCCTTCGTCGTGAAGTTGAAATCCAATGTAAGATGCGTTGTTTCGAGGCCAATATCCTTCATCGTGAAGTTGAAATTGACTCTGAAACTGGAAAGTTTATTAACAGACACTCCTTCTCTGAGTTGGATATCCTCTGCCGTGAAGTTGAAATCCAATATGGAGATGGATGTTGCTTGTGTGTACGATTCCCTTCGTCGTGAAGTTGAAACCGTGGGTGGCCCCTTCGCCGTGAAGTTGAAACCGTGGGTGGCCCCTTCGCCGTGAATTTGAGCCAGGAATTAGATATCCTTCGTCGTGAAGTTGAAATCCAAGTAAGTTGTATTGTTCCGAGTCCAATATCCTCCGTCGTGAAGTTGAAATTGGCTCTGGAACTGGGAAATTATTTTAGACAACCAACCATCCCTTCGCTGTGAAGTTGAACTTGTGTTGTCTCGAGTCCAATATCCTTCGTTGTGAAGTTGAAATTGGCTCTGAAATTGAGATGTTTGTTGACAACCAGCGGTCCCTTCGTCGTGAAGTTGAACTTGCGTTGTCTGGAGTCCAATATCCTTCGTTGTGAAGTTGAAATTGGCTCTGAAATTGGGAAATGTTTATTGACAACCAGCGGTCCCTTCGTCGTGAAGTTGAACTTGCGTTGTCTGGAGTCCAATATCCTTCGTTGTGAAGTTGAAATTGGCTCTGAAATTGAGAGATGTTTGTTGACAACCAGCGGTCCCTTCGTCGTGAAGTTGAACTTGCGTTGTCTGGAGTCCAATATCCTTCGTTGTGAAGTTGAAATTGGCTCTGAAATTGGGAAATGTTTGTTGACAACCAGCGGTCCCTTCGTCATGAAGTTGAACTTGCTTTGTCTGGAGTCCAATATCCTTCGTTGTGAAGTTGAAATTGACTCTGGGTAAGACCTGCAAAGATATGCATATATGCGATGTTATGGATGTCATGCTCTTAGGTATGCCTAAAATGTATATGCAACATATG